TTTTTTATATCCTTTTTCTTTTCTTCAATAAATTGGATAGCTCTTGTTTTTTTTTTTTGAAAATAATATGCGGAATATGCCCTACGAGAGTACTTTCTAATTCACTATCACAATCATACTGTAGATTGTACATGTGATAGTGAAGCCAACTCCCATTTTTAATGAGGTGTACTTGAGAAGTTAAATTATTATTCATGGTATTAATTCACTTGAATTGAATATGTAATGATACTTGTCACTCTTTGATCAGGAGACACTATCTTCAGTTTGCTCCCACAAGATAAACCCTACGAAATGCTTTTACGTAATGACGAACGACTATTTGCATTGAGCCACGAACCATTCCCGAGCCAAGAATCCATTTTCTTCGACCCTTCCAATATCCCTCTATCGGAATTTCTTTCTCAAATTTATCCCTTACCGGTAACCATGGCACCTCAAGTAATTCCTTCGCATTCAACATCAGGTATGAAATTAATTATGCAAAAAAAAAGTTGAAATTTCAATTGTGAATATTGAATATCTACTATTTTTTAACAGTTATGGATTTCCCTACTGCAAGGACAAACTATCAATTTGAGAATCAAAACAAGACAGTTTGGGGACAAGTTGCATCACCTATTAATTCGGTAACACAATCTTCCAATCTAGTTTTCACTTATCCTTCCTTGGATTATGTAGGAGATGCCGGGATATCCAACCCAAACACTCAATTTTTAAGGGATATTGAGAATCGCTTGCTAGATTATTCTCAAGTTGAGCCAGTATATTCATTGCTCGATCCATTGGATGCGACTTCTGACAATGGAATTACTCCATTAGACGTAAACTCTAATAATCAATTGATGCAGAATGTCACCGAAAATTCCATATCATATGGTTTCTTTCCACAATCTACAAATTGTATAGCTCGAGATTCTAACGAAAACCTTGTGATGCAACCAGAAGTAAACCCTAACAATCAAGTGATGCAGAATGGCACTAAAAATTCCATATCAGATGGTTTCTCTCCACAATCTACAAATTGGATTGCTCGAGATCCTAACGAAAACCTTGTGGTGCACCTGGAAGTAAACTCTAGTAATCAATTGATCCAGAATGGCACTGAAAATTCCATATCAAATGGTTTCTCTCCACAATCTACAAATTGGATGGCTCGAGATTCTAACGAGAACCTTGTGGTGCAATCGGAAGTAAACCCTAACAATCAAGTGATGCAGAATGGCACTAAAAACTCCATATCATATGGTTTCCCTCCACAATCAACAAAATGGATTGCTCGAGAATCTAAAGAAAACTTTGTGATGCACCTGGAAGTAAACTCTAGTAATCAATTGATGCAGAATGTCACAGCAAATTCCATAACGGATTGTTTCTTACCACAACCTATAAATTGGATAGCTTGAGATTCTAATTTATAACGAAAACCCTGTGGTGCAACAAGAAGTAAACATATGGTGGGATCCATTTGAATTGGCAGGTTCGAAGATTTGTTCTACTTGGAATTCTAATCCAAATATCTAGGAAATGAGCTTAATTAATATCTACTATTAGAAAGCTAGGAAACGTTTCTTTTCGAGTTCTTTTTCCCTTTGGGGCAAATCCTCAATTTGGGAAAGAATTTCCGTCTCCTCTGATGTTCATTTTTGTAAATTTCTTGAAGATTATATGTCCTAATTTGGTTGTTTGAATTGAAACATTTTCTAGTATTTTTGATAATTTGATTATTAGAATTGTGACATTTTTAATTTGAACTCAATTACATGCACAATGTATTATTTGGGAACATTTTCTAACATGAATAAACATGAACATCAATTCTTTATGTGTATTCACATAACCATCTAAAAGTTTGAGCTTTTTTCACCATTTTTGATATTGTTTGACAACAGTCAGAAGACAAAATAAAATACATTCTTGTTGGTGATTTCGAACAATCCTATACTACACAACGAAGCACTGAAAAACGAGAGAAAGAGGAATGCAAATTAAAGAGGTCTATTGGAGAAGGAGAATCAATTAACTCAATGTTTAGTAAATTGATGGTTTTGGCTCAAATTTGTGAGGAAATTTTTTTACAAATAAATAAAATTCTAGTAGTCTGAAAAATTGAAAAGCATCATTAAAGTTAGCAAAATGTAACCTATTATATATGTCACTGTTCGTATAAACTCAACATTTCAAGCTTAGCTCCAAAAGGATAATAACAGTTTTACTTGTCTTTAAATCAACATTTTACAAAGGTGATAAAATGAGTAACCTTTCATTAAAACTAAACATTTTCACCATTTTATGTCACTTTTGATTAGAATCAAAGGCTAACGTAATGTGTTACTTAAAGTTAACATCCACACTATCAAGTAATATTCAAAGCCCGTCATCTACCACCGCATTCACCACCTACAATCAATCATATGTAAAAATCAATCAACACTTTTGAGTACTTTCACATCTTATCCTTCATATACGAATTCTCTCTACAATTATTCTCGTTAAAGAGTGCTAATTCTCACACTGAAGAGGAAATGAGGGACTTAGCCCATTCTTCATTGCAAGTATTCAGATAACTTGCCAAAGGAAGAAAAAATCTTGTTGTTTGCCAGCTGCAAGTGAGCTTCCCCAGCTAAGGACAAATCCCGTCTTTAGGATTGATTGAAGGACCAATAAAAGGAGGTGTATTCAATATATAGAAAATTTTATAAACTTTCAAGGATTTAAAAAGTTTAGTAATATTCGATAGAAACATCTTAATATTCTAAAAAAGTATTGGTGTATTCAATATAGAATTTTAAAGAGTTTTTATAAGTCTTGGTATATTCAATTAACACTTTTTAGAAGCTTCTACAAGTCATGAGATATTCAAAATGTTAATAACTTTAATTTTTTAAAATTTTTTCTTTTTAAAGAAGTGTCAGGTTACTAATTTTTATATAGAAAGTACAAAAATAAAATCTCAAAATTTGGCTCTTATTCACCTCAAGACTTTGGAAAGACTTTCGCAAAAGAATTTATTTTAATATGTATTTTTTTCCTTTAAATATTTATCTTTCTTTTTCTCTTCTAAGAACCTCGGAGACGTGATTTAAAAATTATTATTTCTTTTCTATGATTATATTTGTTCTCGTTTTCCTTTTTATTGTTTCTCTTCATTTTCTATGAAAAAGAATAAATGGTAATTAAAAAAATTCTTAAATCATTTTTTAATCCAATTTTTTGTGTAAAAGATCAATTTTTATTATTTTATATAAAAAAGATTAGTTTGTAATTTAATTTTAAATATATTGATAGGTTACTTGTTTTATAATGTCTAATATATTGATAATACTTAACATTAGGCCTCTATTTTATTTTGTTAAAAATAAGACTTTTAGTAGATTTTTTTCTTTCTTTCTTTTTTTTTTTTTTTGAAAAAGTTGAGAAATTATGGTTGAAAATTTGATAAATGTTGAGAATTTCATGAAATATGTGATTGAAAATGAGTTTCAAAAAATAAGGAGCAAATAGGAGTGAGATATTTCTTTAGCTTCTTTTGTCAAAAAATAAAAAAATAAACATATATATGATATTTTGATTATATATTTATCTAATTAACGTTAATTATTTTTTATTACATGCGAACTTTCAATTATCCTAGATTCAAGTAACTTCTATTTTGACTGAAAGTTTTCAAAAGTTACATAAATTGTACAAAAGTATACAAGAGTTTTTAAAATCTACGAAAAGCTTTTATTAAATTCATACAAATCTCTAACACTTACAGATTTTTCGAAAATAAACTTAAGTTGAGATCGAATATCATGCTTACTTATAACGAGTCCCAATGAAGCCCAATTTTTCAATGCACTTTGTCCTTGGATACGCCTTCAGTTTCCCACGATCAGTAATTTCACTTTCGGCTTGAAAAGTGGACCTGTTTTCGTATAAGTGGGTTGGTATCATCAGTCAATTCAAGATAATATCTTTTTCAGTCAAGAAAGAAAGTTTCAAACATTCATTTAAATATAGATCATGGGGAAAAAAATGATATTGACGTTTTGGTAGAATTTATGAGATAATAAATAAAGTTATTTTTCAAATATATCAAAATAATAAAAGTTGATTTTTTTAATGATGGTTTAAGTGTTAAATTTCATGACTTCACCATAGCTATTTCCTTAACATCAATCATCAAATTTTATAACAATTGATTATGTTTAAACGATCGAATTCTTCCAACATATTAAATTTACCTCTTTCGAGTTCAAATTGGCTAAACGCATTAAATCTTTAAGAATCCATGTAATGATCGCATTAACTAGAAAATGTATTTCTATAATTTTATTCTAATTCCCGACTTTTACTATGTGGTCTAAATAAATAATTCGCATCTCTATGTAATTTTTGCTTATGAAATCAATAAATTAGTAGCCAATTAATCCAAGCATTAATACTAGAAGTAAAAATAATTTGAAATTTAAAACTTTTTAATTAAAATTAAAGCTCAAAACTAGATTACAATAATCTATCCTAACCAAACAATTAATTATCCATCATGGTAGAATAAAGATACGAGAAAGAATTAAAGTACATAACTGAATTTTTAAGGAAAAATGAAAAGAAAAAAAGGGAGAAAAAATGATGAAGATGAAGATCTTACATCAAGATTTCGTCGTCTTCTTATAATTTTGAAACCTTGGCTTTTTAATGGATTTCTTGATTTTTCCTTCTTTTTGACTTCAATAATATGTACATTGAATCCTTAAGGCTTTGTTTGAATATATGTGTCTATTGATATCCTACGAGCCTCCTTCTTAATTGTTGGACTGTGGTATGTACTTTTAGAATAAGTTCTAGGCAAAATCCTTGTTCAAATTGAATTCCATCAAAGAAGTTTAAGAAAAAAGAAATTAATCCCCTTTTCAATTGACCTTATTTTATCATGTGATTTTAGTAATTCATCTTCTAATATTTGCAATTAAGTCCTATCCATTCTAAAATCATTATAGTTGACCGAGGTAATTTTGGAAAGTTTACAATTTAGTTCCCAAACTTTCCAATTGTTGAATTTAATTCTCAAAATTTACGAGATTTATTATTATTATTATTATTCTTTTTAGAATGCTCCATTAATACTTTCAATTGATTTCTTGCAATTCGGTTAATTATAAATTGCTTCAAATCAATTGCAATTGAGCTTCAAATAGCTTCTTTTCACATATATTGTATTCAAGTTGCATGTGATTTTCCCATAATAACATAATTTACATAAATTAAATAGATATTTGCTCAATTTACACATAAATATATAAAACTAGAAGCCCGAATAAGTGCATAAATGCAATTATCAATTTTCACATCTAATTCCAAATAATAACAAACACAATTAAACAGTAATTTTTCTTAAGTAGTACATTAGGTTTAAAGATTTTATTCTTTTTCTTTTTCCTTTTTATTTTTTCCTTACAATTTGATCTCATACATTCAATCAAATTTAAGATTGAGATACATGCCACAAAATTACTATGGTTCAAATCTTTTTGGTGTTGTTTCACAACACGATATGGTATTGGACTATAGTTAGACAATAATAACATTAAAATTATAAATAAAAATTTAAGCCTCCATTTAAGAAAAAATTATAAATAATTTAATTAATAAATTAATATAGATGAGTGGTGGATGAGTGAATAATATTTGTAGGTTAATTTTCATTGTCCTAATAAGATTAAAGAGGCCCCACTAAGATTTCATGCATGTTTCTTCTCAAATTGGATACTTGCAAGGATATTATGATTACCTCAATGATGTCCAAGAGAGAAAAAAGTGGGAGTAAATGAATAGAAAATAGTATCTATGGGAATGGGATATCATATCAAGTGACTAGATTTCCTATTAGGATTTGTGATTGACTCAACTTTCATGGATAAAACTTTGGCCAATTTCCATTTTGATAATCATACTATGCAAATAAAGTTACAAGGCATCTTGGACCCTACAAAGATTACAAGCTTAGTTTCATATTAGATTCTATATTACGTGTCATTAATTATGAGTTAGTAAAAAAGGTTAACTAGAGATAATCCATCACCTAAATGATGAATGCGACAAATAAGTTGTGATTTAAGAATAATTGAGATAGAGTTCGTACATTGATATTAATTCTTTTCTTCATACCTTCTAAATTTGAACTTCAAATTTCGACAGCCAACAACCATTTACAAAAACATACACTTAAAGGGACGTTGGAGAATTTTCAATGATGATGCTCAGTGTAACGTCGTATGTTTTGGGTTAATTAAATTTAAAAATTTTGCAATAACATGGAAGGAGATTGATAATAGTCATATATAAATTGAGAACATCACTGTCATTACACAATGTTATGTCATCATAAAAGTATTGATTAGGCACACGCACACAATGTGTATGAGTATTTTTAAATTGTAAGCATGATTTTCAAATTGTAAAAAAGTGATCCGCATGGAAAGTGCACAAAGCTTGAGGGCAGCCAGCCATTATCCATATTTTCACATATGAAATATTCACGTGCTACAAATTATTATATTATATTGGATTTACCCTACCCCCACTCCCAACTTCGTAACCCCTACGTTATGACATCTTCTTTTCTTCACTTATATAATTTCTTATAAATTAGGAAAAAAATAATATCTTTACATTTTATGACTTTTTTTTTTAAAATTCTTTTAGGTATTTAAGAGCTGAGTTATCGAGTAATTAGCAATTTTCACAAAACGTGTGGAATTAAATCGCTACGTGAAACTGGAAAATTTTTCGAATCACAAAATTTAATTTTAAAAGGCTTAGAAAATTATATCAAACAATGGATAAACAAGCATTTATATTTCTATACTCAGTTCTATTCAATTTAATGTATTATTATATCATAAAAAGAGCAAACTCCGACACCAGTTTTTTGCAATGACATTACCAAAAACTACAGTTCAATGAAGCAAATTATAGTATGTATATATATGCTTTCCAAATTTAGGTGTCCTGATATTTTAATAAAATTAAATGAAACCTTTTAAAATTTAGGTATTTTTGGTAACTAATGGATTTATAAATAACTCATTAATAGAAGGATTTTAAAAGATTTGGAAGGATTTCAAGTTTAAAAATACACAGTTAAATCTTTTGAAATTTCACTATATTTGATGACATCCTTATGGAATTTGTGGAAATCAATTCAAATCCATGAAATTCATCGAGATTTATAATCTTTTAAAAAATTAATCAAAATCTTAGTTGAGGAAACCGCGGTAAAATACAGTATACAGTAGTCGGCGATAGAACTCATTTACCATGTTTATTCTTGAATATTATTATTTTATTTTAAGTAGGTCAATACTTCATTAACAATTTCGAATATTTTATCTAAACTAAATAATATTTAAACAAATTGCTTAAATGTTGCGTACATGGAGTTTAGTCAAATCAATCAGTGACCAATATGGAATAAGAAGTAATTAAGCAAGAGCAATATATATATATATATATATAGCGAAGAACCTTATCAGGGCTTGACATGCCGCGAATCCTTTTGAAAGAGAGGAGTGCCTTCAGGAACGCAGACATAAGTGGTGCATGGCTGTTGTCAACTCGTGCCACAAGTGTTTGGATCGGAAGATCAAATATCGTCAAATCTATTTTGAAAATATTTAAAGCTCGACTTGAAAGATACTTGAGCAACGTGTGGAAGAGGTTAAGAGAAATCCATAAAACAAGTTTGATTTTAAATTGAAAAATAAATTCAACTTTTTAAGTAATTTTTAAAACTTATTTGTAATCGATCTTGAATATTTTAATATTTAATTCAAAAGACATTACTAGGCGAAACATAAACTTGGGTCATTGGAATTTGATTTTCTATTGATGAACACGTTCATCAACGTACTTAGAACATTCTTTTGTTTTTTTTGTAATTTTTAGGAGTAATAATGCTACTCTTAAGGCATTGGATTTAATAACTCAAATGTTTGTGGTGGAATTAATATCATAAAGGGTTTAGCATCGTAATTGATTTTTAGATGAGATGATTAGAATTAAAATTTGATTCAACAAGATTAATGAAAATTGTGGACAAATTTTATCAACCAGTACATAGATGATCTACTTCTATTGGTAATCAGAGACGACATAGAGAAGTCAATGTTGAGATGACGTTTGCGTCAAAAAAAATCCAATAGTAATATGGATTCATAAATTTTTTTTAAATCTATTCAGTAATTTAATTTAAAATGGTGACAAAAGAAATTAGAATAAACAAATAATCAAAATGCTGAAATTAAATCAAATAAAAGAATTTATAAATGTGAAAATAAATAATTTTGGAGGTGTTGGGTAGGTTTGGGTTTAAAAAATTAATCCAATACCACCATTAATTTATGGATTTTTATAGATGTAAAAAGAATAATTCCCCTTCTATAGGGGAATTGCTCATAGTACAGAGGTCATACAGGTGCTACGCTGCTGCTTTTTTCTTTGTTTTTATCATCCGTTAATGTTTTACTATTAAGTGTGCATCTGTAGAAAATCTATCAAATTTTTTCTGTACATATAGCATCACTCATGTAAAAAAGCTATAAACGTACAGTAGAGTCTCTCAAGAATCTAAAAAACTGACATATCTTTTTTTCTCCTTGTATTTTTTTATTTAAATTGAGGAGTTTGACCTTAGAAATTAAATTCTATAATAGAAGAAATATGAATATTTACCTAAAAAGCAAAAGACCAAAAACATGTAAGTTCACACAATGAACTAATTCAAAAGGGACGTAACAGATGCACATAGATTCTCAAATTAACTAATAAAAATGTACGCAATATAATGTGGTTAGTCTTCCTATTTTGTTTCGTTCATTTCAACATATTAAACATTTTAAAAAAAATAAATATTAATTAAGTAGGAATCGTAAGTGTTAAGAGATTTACGTGAAATTACTTATAAATTTGCAAATATGTGTTTTTAAAAATGCTCAAGTTTTTAATTCCTAACGTTCTGCTTAAGTTGCTTTTCGAACTCGCCATTCTTAGATTTATTTATCCATTGTCATTAGTTTACAAAGAAACATCTAATTTACAAAGAAACATTGCCTTCGGGGTATAATTTAGTGGTGCAAAGGACAGGAATGAGGTAGTCTCAGCCTTGCTGACAATCGCAGTGTGAGTGTTCGATTCATGATATATGGAAGTAGACCCTTTGTGGGCACCAGTGTACAGACAAATTCTTGTTCCCTGGCCTGTTGGGACACATTCCACGATTTATCTCTCTCACGATAATTCAGGGGCGGGGTGGTGAAAGCTCTCGAGGTTGGGGTTCAACCTCTTTGCAAAGAAACATTTAATTAATAAAGTTTCCTCAATCTAAAAACAGAAAATCAGCATAATTATATATAAATATTGAAAAAAGTTGTACAAAGTAAGTGCACTAATGATCTTTTACTCGTTTTTCCACATATATATCTTCAACTTATTTAATTTAAGAATAAAGATAACTTGACTCGATAATTTTATTTAAGAATTTTAATTAAGTATGCCACGCTGTGTATTGATTAAAATATAGCTTCACGAGGCTAAATTACATATATAAAATGCTAGTATCATTAGAATGAATTAAAATTCTTAAAAAAAAAAAAACAAAACAAAACAAAACAAAAGCACTCTTTAAAAAAAAAATCTAGGCGCACCGTAAAAAAAATAAAATAAAAAAATAATAATAATAAATATTTTTTTTAGTATTTAAGAATTTAAGGAAAACAAATTAGTCAGTTTTTTAAAGTCAAAGGGAGTCCTTTGATGCGACCGCCTTTATATGATTGGTCTTTTGTCAAAAAGAAAAAACTGCTTATTTTTCTCTCTGCTTTTTTCTTTCTCACCCCGCGTCTGACGGATCCTTATATATATATATAGTGTTTCAATGTATTCAATCATTTGCATCTCTCTTCTTTTTCAATGATAATTTCTCTTTATCGAGGACAAAGAACAGTGTGTAACATAATCTGGTGATGGAGGATGAAGGTTTTTCTACGTCTGAAGATTTTGAGAAGACTCCCTATTTTGAGCCTGAAGATCAGATTTATGAAAGTGATGGTTCTGAGCAATCTGGCTCCAAGTTGTTGCCTGAATTCGATATGCAGGTTCTTTTAAGTGTTTTTGTACCTTTCGAAGTCTTGTTCTAGTATAGATCTATCTATGTAATGTAACTATAGATGCAGCCTGCATGGCTGCTTAATTGATTTTGCATGTTATTTTGAAACTCGATAAGTTTTCAGGATTGATATTCTACCCATAGTGGGCAGGAGATCCCTGCCCACCGCACAACTTGCCATCTCATCGGTATTTTAAACTCCACCGTTAACAAGATATCTCCTGCCCACTATGAGCAGAAGATCAATCTAAGTTTTTGTGTGGCAGGCTGGATCTTCTTCTGTTTTTTATCTTGACGGATCAGTTGTGAATTTTTGTGAAAAACTATGATTGCATGTAATTTTTTTGTTTTAATAAAGATCTTCACTTTGATGTGTCCAAAAGGAATTATATTTAGGTTTAAATCTGTAATTTCATGAAGTTTCCATTTGTTTCAGCAATTATAGAGCATTTGAGTTATGCAAATCATGCATGAGTATTATTAATAATGCTTCTGCGTGTGCATATATTTTTCTTGTATCTGTTAAAATAATTCTTTTGTTAATGGGTTTAGGAGCAAGGAATTATGGATTCTTCTGAAAATTCAAGCCCTTTAGGCTTGACACTGCGAAAAACGCCATCTTTTGTTGATCTAGTGCACAAGACACTCGCGAAAGGAAAGGAAAAAGTTCGTTCAATGGAGATGAATCTTGAATTAAAAAGCAAGAGTTCTCAAACCAAAAGGAATAGCGAGAAAGTTAAGGCTTCAAATTTCCCTGCGAAATTGCTTCGAATTGGAACATGGCAGGTGTTTCTTTTTTTTCTTCAATTACTTTTTGAAAGATTTTCTTGATATGAAATTCTTAGATGATGCTTTATGAATGGATTTTTTTTTTTTTTTTGAAAAAATATTAATAGTACAAAGTTGTTATGTGATAGAGGATGAATACATATGAAGGGGATCTGGTTGCGAAGATATACTACGCGAAACGAAAAATTGTATGGGAGATTCTACAAAGACCGTTGAAGTGTAAGATCGAAACACAGTGGTCTGATATTATTGGGATTCGGGCAATTATGCCTCCTAACAGAGAAGGAACTTTGGAAATTGAGGTTAAATCTTTTTGCCTTATGTCAATAGTTAATGAATATAATGCAATGTCCAATTATTGTTCATTATAAAGTTTTTTTGGAATTATGGTAGGGAAGAGTTTGAAAAAGAATAATGGCAACTCAATTTCATTGATACTATGAAGCAAATTATAAACCAAATACATTTAAAATACTTTAACAAGCTAAAATACAATGACTTCACCTTCAACTAAACTACAATACTTTAAGAAGACAACTACATAAGAACTAGTATACAAAAGATGTATACACTTAGAAGATTAGAAGATAGATACAAGAGGTATGGATGACAATGGGCTGCTCGACTTAGCCCTTAGATGCTTGAGCTCGGCTCAGCCTTAGCTTATGTCCTCAAATAAGGATAGACTCATTCTTTGGCTTGTATGGACATGAGTCGAGCCCGAGCAAGCTGACGGCTTAAGACAAGCCAACTCATGGGCCTCAAGATTCGAGTTCATTTGGCTCATGAAAAAACTCAAGCCCGACCCATTGCTTATCTCAATACTAGCTCAAGCGGTCCATAAACCTAGTTGTCTTGGCCTTGAGACATCTAAGGTTGGTTTGTTCCAAAGGACAAGTCGAGCTAGCACGTCCGCAAATAAGGCTTAGCTCGTCCTTTGGCTTATGTAGACACGAGCCGAGACTTAGTCGGCCCACAACCTCAAGACAAGTCAGCTCATGGGCCTTAAGAGTAGAGCTCAGTCAGCCCATGAAAATTATTGAGCCCGATTCGATTCATGGCTCATCTCTACACGAGCTCAAGTGGCCCATAGGACTAGGAATGAGTCAATCCTATGAATAGCTTAATAACAATCTTGAGATGGTGGAGCCGTTAGCAATACCAATCTCGTACCAACATAGTTGGAGTAATAGTGCTTTGGTTAGGCCATCTACACTATCATGAATGAGGTGGAAATCAATTTCAATGTTTCATTCAAAAGTCAAGCACCAAGTTTTAGCAAAGAGATGTAATGCCTATATTGTCACAGTAGGTGTGATGCCTAGAAAAGATTTTATCATTAGGAAGGTGGTGCTTGCAACAGTTCCATGTTCAGCTTTAGTGAAGGAGCGAACAACTGAGCGTTTCTTGCGACAGCCCTAAGCTATGGGATTATGAATAATGAATACTACATGGGCCATAGTGGAGGTATGATCGTATATAAAGGGCATGGTAAGTTAGAGGAGAACCACGTGGATAGGGGCGGAGCTAGGATCGATCTACAAGTTGGGCTAATACCTAACAAGTTTGGCTAACATGTAAAAAAAATATAAATTTACACATAAAAAAAAATTTTTTTTTTTGCCCTAAAAATATTAAGTGGGCTTCAGAGGGGACTGGGCTACAACCCAGCCCAGTCCCCCCTTAGATCCGCCCCTGCAAGTGGAGGAAAATGTTATAATGAGAAGTGGCACAAAGATATCACACTAAGCATTTAACTATGGCCCAACATTTGATTGTTGAACAATGCATAAACTGAGACAATTTGTCAACGGTGAAGATGATGTCTGACCGAGTCAATAAGAGCTCTTGAGTTTGCCAACCACTAGTCAAAAGTCAATGGAGTAATGCTATTTAACTCCATTAGGGTTGCAACCCTAGTCTAGAAGCGCTAATGTGGCATTAAATGATTACTGAAATTAAATATGAGTCATTCAATTTTACTATTTTATCATTTAACGCTTTCCAAACTAGGGATGTAATCCCAGTGGAGTTATATAGCATTATTCAATTCAATGGCATACTCATCATTGAAGCGCATAGAGGAAGATGGGGACATAAGTTTTTGAACTGATCGAGAACCATACATATTTGTGTGATGGAGTAAATAATGAATATACTGGCATTGAGAGAGAAATAGGTCGAAGGGGTAACATCCACATTAAAAGAAGAGAGTACCAGGATGTTTTTGTTGGGTTTTGGTACCCAATAAATTCAGGACGATGATGTTAAATAGTTTCGGATTATATTTTATAAGTCTAGATCGATGAATGAAATAATTATCAATACAATAAATTTATATGCTCAAACCGAAAGCAACGTGGGCCACTAGTAGCAACTTAATTTTGTTAATGTTGCCTTGACCCAAATTCACTTATAGGATGGCTTTCTTGTGTCGTGGCCCATTTTCTTTGTGTTGTCCCATTTGTTGGATATTAGTCCAAGTCATGGTAACCTAAACTAACCTATATATACCAACTTTCTTCTCATTGTAACTGTCTGTTTTGTCCCTTTGTTGAGAAGAAAATCGAGGCTGCTCATTCTTCATCCTCTTCGTGCCTCTGCCTTCTATTATCTTCTCTTTGCCTTTGTAGTTTGCAAATCACAACCATATTCTTGTCCCTTTGTGGGTGAGTAAGAAAGAAAGCAACCATAAGCGAATCTAAGTTGCGGGTTTGGAGTTTTGGTTGATATTGATTGATGAGTTGAAATTGAACCCGGAATCCATCAATTGAAGATTAATTCCGCTATAGTTTTTGAGTAAATTGATAGCCAAGTTAGGAAAAACTCATTGATGAATAAATAAGTGTATAATTAACGATAATAATAATTATGTTACCAACTTAAATAAGAGTATATAGAGGTTAACCAACCTGATTAAATAATTAGAACAATGCCAGAGCGAGAAGCTTCGTCCAAATAATTAATGAGCGTCTGGCCAAGAATTCATCCATTGAAGAAGGAAGGCACGGTGTTCTGTTGGGAATTTACTTATACATGCACAGCGGAATTTAAAATAATTTTCGATTCTCACCAAGAATCGCCTTTGTGTTTCGATAGAAATTGTGATAAGGATTGTACTTTTGAAAAATTTTGCAATCCTTTTGCTTTTCTATTAGTTCCATCAACCTTGATTCGCCACCACAACTATCCAATTGTCTAGCCTCCAATGGTGATCCACACAGAGAATAAGATTGCAGCTTCTAGGGTTTTCTCTTGTGCCAGCAAGAATAATGAAAACCATATGGACCTCAAACCCTAGCCATATATTTATATAAACCCAAATGGGCTTGGCCCGGTCCGGTCCAATATTTAATTAATCCAATTAATTAAATCCGGCCCGTGAATTAATTAATCCAATTAATTAATTTCGATATATAAATAACAAATCCAATTAATTAATTTATCCAACGATTGTTAAATTAACCAATTGGTAATTTGCAATCTTCCAATTCTCTTTTGTGTGCGACCCATTAGGTTCTCCACCACGATGCCTAACGACGTGAAATATTATTTTGATCTAATCAAAATAGATAAATTAAAATATTCTTTTAATTTATCGTCAATTCACACTCACCGTCCCTGATTGATATCTAGCAATGTATCAGGGCAATACATGTGACGGGAAATGCCACGTGGTATGATAAAATCAAATTCGTTCGTTTATCGTGAAATTATAATCCCTTCGTCAATATGATCCGATCAATTACGAAATATGGAATTGTGTCAATCTCGATCATCGATCATATCTTTCACTCCACTATTAAGTCAATATAAGTCGAAAACTCCTTTTCGACTTATGAGTATACCTTGGCCAAGGATTTCATCATCGACTTAATTGAATGAAACGCAGATCATAATCTCCTACTATCTAAGAGTGACGAATCCTTTATTGATCAATCACAACCTTCATACGATTCTTGACGTACCTAAACGATGTCGTATTAGCAGCCCTTTTTAGAGCAACATCCAACACCGTCAAAGTATGACTGTCCTCATATAAGGTACCATAACGATCTCAAATCAAATGACCAATTTCACTACCGAACGTTAGAGATTAACCACTGACACTCAGATAGTTATCCATGTGGATTCTCTCGACAGGTCTCCAATATTTTGTTCTATAACAAAACATCAACGTGTTCATTTAAGTGTCACCACACTTTAACTTGTGAGATTAGCTACTTACTTCACAAGTAAGAAATGTCACATGTGATGGTCTATCCGTAATAACGATATCCGTATCTCGTTAGTACTTACAACCACGGATGATTTAAGATTCAATCAGATGTAATTTGTATCTCACAATCACAACTCCTTGTGATTAACAAATTACAAATATTTGAATTTACGGACTCTATTATTTATTTAATTGTCTATTAATTAAATAATAGATCTGCCATTTAATTGCATTAATTATATATAAAAGTATTTATGTCCAAAGTTGATTGGACCTAGGGCATAATACTTACATGTTCATGGTACGAGAAGCCTGCTTGAGACCATAGATAGCCTTGAGAACAAGTCAAACATAGGTCGGAAGAGACTCATCAGTGTAGCCGAGAGGTTGAGCTATATACGTATAAGAGTAGAACGCTGGTAAAGGACCTTTTGCAACAAGGCGAAATTTGAAACTACTGATGGTACCAACAAGATTTCGTTTTTTCTAAAATGCCCATTTAAACTTACTACATTTTGAGACAAAGTAGGGAAAACAATGTAAACACGCTCCATTACAAATTAATGCATCAAACTCAGCTAACATTGTATGGTGCCATAAAAGATTTAAGAGAGAAGCGTGTTCATATCAAGCTGAGAAATAAGAGTGGAGATTGGACAGGTTTGTGGATATTAGCATTGAAAGGAGTGAGCATTTGTAAGTGTTTCGGGCAGGGGAACAGAGGTTTCCACTACAGAAGTTTCCAGGTATATCAGAAGTCTTCAAATTACTTCTCAGGATAGGCTAAATTTGATTGCTCCTATATTTACATTGGAGGTTTACATGTGAGCGATTCATGTGGAGAGACATATGAGGTGTGAGAGTTCAACTCTGGTGGGATTAATAATATCAGTACCCAGCAGCTACACCCCTTTACTGCTGGTAATGCACCACCAGCACATGTCATCCGTTCGGTAGGTGCCTCAGCGACAATGCAACCCGCAGCACTGCCTCAGGCTGGTTATAGACCACCGATCTTGACCCTTTTGGATGACACCGTTCATGAGAGGTAGGAAAAATCAATATTTGTTAGTTTTTTTGGGCACAGGTTAGAAACCACTTAAAATCAGTGTAGTGCAATTTTGTGTCTTTTGAACCCAAAAATTGGTGGGTTTTTCTTAAATTCTCTTCAATTTTATTATTTATAAAAATCGCTATTAAAAATCACGCAAAATCATGGTACTTTATAAAACGCCCATATCCATAGCCCAAAACTCCCAAGCAGGCCCTAAATGTGGAAAGTTTGGCCACCACCAACCAGACTGTTCTAAGCGACAGGGTTATTTTATGAATTGGCAGAGAATGAGGATTATAACAGGACTCTATTGTTTGACGATGTTTTGGCCTTTTGGCCAATTACTGGTTTCCGGAATCTAAGAATGTTATAATGGTCATTCCATGGACCTACCTAAAAATGCTAGTGATGCTCTACTTCCTATTGATGCCTTGAGAAAGGATACAAAATATTTGGAACCATAGAGTTATGGCATTCAGGTTGGAAGCAACAGATTAAAGGGATTTGGTTTTGGTTTTGTGAAGAGGCAAGTTTTGTGACAGCCATATCAGTACATCTTTTGTTGATAGGTTTGTTGACATTTTCGTGTAGACTCAGCGAGTAACTCCCACCATTTCGAGATATGGCTGACTCTATATGCTTGATTGGGGACAAATCTTCTCTTGCCCAGGCGGATGATGTAGCTAGAAATAACAGGAACTTGATTCGAATCTTGAAATCTGTATGTTCCTCTAACATTTTAATTAGATTGAATTATTCGTTTAAGTTAAATGGATTCTACCATGTTGTAATTTGGAAAGAGTTTGAGGAAAAATAATGGCTACTCAATTCATTCAATACAATATTGAAGAATATATACAGAATGTAATGGAGACACTTTGAGACAAGCTAAAATACAATGTCTCTACTTTCAACTAAACTGCTAAACTTAAGAAGATAAGGCTTGCTAGTGTTCTCTAAATGTGATAATACAAAAGATGTACGCTTAGTCGATAACGACAAGCGGTGGAGTTGTGTTTCATCTCTAACACACAGCTTAAAACATTAAATGTGGTGCAGTTGGATCAACCTCCATTGTTCTACCGTGAAACCAATCCCCAACCGCGAAAGCATACCCTTTGGCAACAGTCGTCTGATTTTACTGGAGGTCAAGCTTCAATTTGGAGGTATTCATCATTCAATCCTTACGTATTCTTTCATAAAGCATAGTGTTATGTAGTATAACATCAGCATAGGTGACTAAATGAGATGTCATCTTAAATTAAACTCATGTCCCTACTTTTAAAATGGTCTATCAATTAATAACACTTCAGTGCCATCTTTATTCTTTTATAAATATACTTCAGAATTTTGTCGCCATCATGTGATAAATATTCTTTTCATTATTAGTTTACAGAAATAACAAAATTTACATTTTGTTTGTCAAAGTTGCTGGTTATAATTTCTATATTCACTACTCTTTATAGTATTAAATGTGTTAACAAAGTTCTTGTCTTTTTAAATTTTGGTAAAAAATGGGAAAAATAAAAAATAAAATATGCCCTATGGGTGTAATTGATAGTTTACAGTCACTAACATTGCAGATTGTATAAATATCGTACACAAGTTATCGGAACTTCGATGAGAACTTGATCATCTATCATGTACATCTTGTACTGAAGTCGACTCACATGTTTGATAAGTTGGACCGCAGACACTCTTACGAAAGAAGCTATACTTTTCAACCGAGTTGAGTTCAACACTGAATAATAATTGTCACTCTTTGGGCAGGAGACACTATGTTCAATTTGCACCGGGAATCCTCGACAAACATTTCCACATGCTTTTGCAGTGTGATGAACGAATGTTCGCATTGAGCCATCAACCCTTTCCACGCCAAGAATCTCCTTTCTTCGACTTAAATATTTTTGGATGTTCGGAATCCACCTTCAACATCTATGGACATGGATCTAGATTTCTCCCCGGGATGCAATATCCATATCAAGCTTATCCCACAACAATAAGAACGACGCCTCTTGTACATCCTCTAAATTCAACATCAGGTATGAGATTAATTTTGTAAACAATGATGACATTTTTATTTTTAATTTTGAACACCTCTATTATTTTGTTGCAGTTAAGGATTTCCATAGAACAATGTCAAACTATCAATTTTTGCCTCAAAACCAGACTAGTTGGGGGCAAGGAGGAAGTTTTCCTACAGCAGAAAATATTCAAGTTGCAGCACCTATTAATTCAGTAACACAATTTGCCAATCCGTTTTTCGCTCATCATTCACCGAATTATGTAGGAGATTCCGGGATATCTAATCCAAATGCACGAGTTTTAAACGATATTGAGAATCACCTGCTTGGAGATTCTCAAGTTGTATGTTGTGATGAGACGAGCCTCAGTTCAAAAGTCAAGTCAATGCATTGGCTGCTCGATCCACTGGAGGTGAATTCTAACAATGTATTTGCTCCGATAGACGCGAATCCATATACTCAAGTGATGCAGAGCGGCATTGAGAATACTATATCAGATGGTTTCAATCCACAGTGTATAAGTTGGATATCTCAATATTCTAATGAAAATGTCATGATGCAGCCGGGAGTAAATAACTCAGTTTATCCATTCGTGTTGGCAGGTTCGACCAATGGAAAATTTTCTTCTTCGAATTCTAATCCAGACATCAAGAAATGGACTTAACATCTACGTAAGGATTAGGAAATTTAAATCTTTCGTTTTAGGAGTTTTAGAATTGTGTTTCCTTTGAAATATATATCTGGTAATGCTTTGTAAATTTCTTGAAATAGTGGACTTTAACTATGACAGCAGTTTAAGTTACCAATTTACAATTTGAAAGAAGGAAAAAGTTACGCTTCTTTGATTTTTATTTACCTGCAGTATTGGCATTATTGGAATTGAAACTTGAAAGATTAACCAGATAATTAAATAGTTTACAATCAATAAAATCAATAAATATGCATATCAGTGATCCAAACACATTTATGCAGCCTGACTACAAATTCCAAGGATTGTATCATTGTGTTTATTACGTTCATGAAATATGAGATTCTTAATAAATTATTGTGGTTGACTATCAAAATACACAACTATATCATCATTTAAACACACAGTTCTTTCAACAAGTCTTAAGCCACAAAGATTCTTTAATTGCTTCATTAGTGGAATGTGTTTAGATTCGATTGTGAATAGTACAACTATATATTGAAGTTGAGATTATGTATTGAATAGTGCAATTATATACTGAAGTTGAGTTGAGACTTTCAATTATTTCAAGAATTACAAAGTAAAACATAAGAAGAAATAGACTTCCTATTATTTCTATCCCTGCATGGTTCGCATCTATGTTAAGAGAAGGAAAGCCGAAGATATGAAATCGAGTTTATCCTCTTTACAAAATAAATAAATAAATAATGGTTTTAACGGCCCATTAGCTATAAGCGTGCCTGAACCTGCTTTCAAGTCTTGGCTTCGAGACTTCGACTACCCTAAAATCCTCGACCAGTGGATCTTCGACCTCCTTCGCCTTTTCGTCGTCGCCACCACCATACAGAGTTTTCTACTAGAGTTTTCACCTACCTCTGAACATAATCGGGAATATTATAGTGGCATTGATGAATCCACAATTATCTATCTTGCGATTAGCGAAAAACAGTGTCTCTTTGATACTTCATGCCCCAAATGAACCCGATAAGGAAAGCTCTCGGCTAATGTCTATCGTACAATTATGACATTGTTTTACTCCAATTTGATGGGTAAATGTATTAGTAGCTTGAACAAATTTTATTGACATTGAAATCCAAATTTATTTGAATAGTCATGGCTTTTATAAATACTATTTAGCATTTTCGTCACAATTTTGTCGGGTTTCAGACGAAGTTTGAACCACTTAAGCATTTTCGTCAACTTTGCTTACTTTCCTCGTCATTTATAAAAATGCTTGGGACATTTTTGAAATACCTCGCATATGAGGTCCGTGTGTAATAATGCAGTCAACCCATTGCTTGACTTTCGTGCTTAAATGTCAAAATACGCATGCATTTGTGTTAAAAATTGAGTCCAAATTAGTCTAACAAAGTCCAGCCTACTTTTATAACTAGGGGGAAAAAAAAAACTACACCCACTCATGGATTTTAACTTTCAACTTAAAAAATCAGATTAAAAATTTATTTATTCAAAATTATTCAAATTTTTAATTTTAACCAGTCAAAGTTGAACGTATATTGCACGTTATTCTAAAAAAATTATAAGTAATGTAAAAGTAATATTTGGTACTAATTTGTTGGAAGATTTGATAAGTCTCGGACAAATTAAAGAAAATAAACTTTAGCATAGAAATTTAAGAAAATAAAATTGTATTCTCAAAACTCAATTTCTACGATTCAAATTTTTTGTAATGATGAAATACTATAAATTAGCAATCTTTTTATATTACATTTGATTCATAAAAATTAATTGTCAATACACAAATTTAAAAACTCATTAAAATTTTTAGATACACTAATATGAATAAATTTATCTATAATAACTCTAAATTCATGTAATTCAAGATTCATCAAGTGAAAATTCATTGAATATAGGTTAATGTAAATGTTAATTAACTGAAATTAATAACACAAATTTCATAAATGACAATAATTATGTATTATTTATTACATATCAAAAAACGAAAAGGCAAGGCATTATTGAATAATTGAATTGTAGGAAAGTTAAAATCGTTCAAAAAAATGATATTTTAATATATTATAGATAATAACATTAAATTAAATGGTACTTTTATTTCCATCCACAATTTTTATAAGTATATCCCACTCTAAATACATCCCTAATAAAATTTTTAAATTTTTAAAAATTACTATTTACATCCAAGTCATATTTCAATCTTATCCTTATTAAGATCATTCATTTTAAATACTACTAGTTGCTATCACGTGCAAAGGAGATATAATAATACGAGTATACAATACCTCCTAGTATAATCCAAACAAACAAGCAATTAGTAAATAAAGCAAATTGAAAAATGTTTACCTAGTCTATGGACATAACAATGAAACAATAACTAAATCTAATGAAATAATTAAAGACCTTGACCTTTCCCTCAACTTCCTAGAGAATCCCATTTTCGATTTCCTTGTATGGAAATGAGTCTAAGAGAAGTTCATTACCCAAAAATTTATAAATAAGAATATTAGTCATGGTGAAAACATTAACAGGTCATGGTAAAATTTCTAATCTGCAACTATTCAACAGTGTAAAATTCCTTGATGACCACATTCATGGAACAAAATATACCTAGAGGAAGACGAAGTTTCAAACTAATCTTATATACTTATTCATTTTTTTAATATAACTCACACAGAATATATAACTCACAATTCCACAACTTTTCTCTGCTCCCTCCATATCAAGTTAACTTGAAGCATGAACTTTTGGGCAATGACAACAAGACATATCATCATATATACTACAGTGTAGAAGATAACGGATTCCTTTTACCAATAGCCTTTGGTAGATCCTCTATCCTTGTAAGGCTTTTAAAAAAAGGAATAAATTTTTTTGATAAATGACCCATTAAATCAGCGTCGCTGCAAAATAATAATAATAATAATTCACAACTACCATAAAAAGATTCAATATTCACCGCACAAATTGGTGCTGGGATTGGTACGGGAGTCCCAGCACCAATTTCGTGTGCGGGGACTCTGCACCAATTTTGTGCAGAGTCCCCGCACAATTGGTGCGGGGACTTCCCCCCACGAAATTGGTGTGGGGACCCCGCACAATTGGTCGCCGGTATTGCCAAGTACCCTAGCAAGGGACCCCGCACAATTGGTCGCCGGTATTGCCAAGTACCCTAGCAAGGTCATCCGCAAGGGCGGATCACTTGCAGGTAAAATATTGATTTCTTCTTCTTTTTTTTTTTTTTAATTGTTCTATATGTATTATAAATTCTGACGATCAAAAGTTGATTCTTGAATAATTATCATTCTGTATTCTGTTAAAATTCCTTTTCTGGGTCTCCTGTAATCTTGCACACCCATCTCCGTTTCTTAACACGCACTTGAAAATTATATTGCACTTTTCATCTTTATATAAATATGACTGCATATTTGTATTATTGCATATATCTTATCTTATTGCTGTGTTTGACTTCAAAATTTAGTAAAAGAATCTCCGTGAACAATTGTAAAATGTATGTTCTGTTTTTAATTTTTCTGGGTTTTTTCTCATTTCTCATTTTCAACAATATTTAGCCATCTGATCAGTTATCGCTATAAATGGGTCAAAATGTGGATCACACCTATGAGGAAATAGTGGCTAATAGCCGGTTGATCCGGCCATTTTTTGAAAGAGGCCTTTGACCAATTAAAAATAAAAGAAAAAAAGCAAAAAAAGATTAAAATATTGAAAATCAAGAGAAATCCATATTTACCCTTACTATTTAAAGAAGAAAGAGAAGATAATAAGGAAAGAGAAAAAATACTGTAGCACTGATAAAAAAGAGAAAATAGACGATCCATATTTAATGTTTTTATATTGATATTTGGAAGAAAAAAAACATGATTTTGTATACATGTATTGATTTTTGGAAAAATGCATGATTTTTGGGTAAGGATAATAGTTTGGGAGGAGGAAAATGGAGTGGAGATCGTCGAAAATGGAGTTTTCCGGCGATCTCTACAAAGGAGACGGTTAGCCCAGTTGACCGGGCCGTTTAGGCATGCCCAGACGACCCAGACGGCCCAGTTGACTGGGCCGTCTGGGCGCCAGTTGACTGCGCCGTCTGGGCCAGTCAACTGTGCCCAGACGACCCAGTCAACTGGGCCGCCTGGGGCCCAGACGACTACAGTTTTTTAGGCCCAGAAATTTTTTTTTAAAATTACTTATTTTTTTATTTCCTTTAATTTTTGAAGTTAACTATTTATTTTAATTGCTTATATTGTGTTGTCTAATATTTAATTATTATTTGAATTGTTTAATTTTAATGTATATTATGTATTTAAAATTATTTCTTTGAAATGCTTAATATAAATGTTTTATTATTTATCTAAATATTTATTATTTGCCAATTTAGTTTTAATTACTTATTTTATGATAAGTAATAGTAAAAAAACTAAAAGAAATAATTAAATATTAAATAAGTAATATACATAAAGAACTTAAATAAGCAATATGCATAAAGAATTAAAAAATTATTTAAACATTAATTAAATTAAGTGTTAGTAAAATAATTAAAATAAGCAATGAAAATATTAAAATAAATGATGAAAATAAGTGTTAGTCAAAAAATTAAACGAAATAATTAAATATTAAATAAGTAATATACATAAAGAATTTAAATAAATATTTAAACATTCGTAAAATAATAAAAATAAGCAATTAAATTAGAAAATTAAAATATCGACCAAATTAATTATTTGCAAAGCATTTAAATAAATATCAATAAAGAATTTAAATAAATATTTAATCATTTTTTTATTTTTTACTATTGAATTTAATTGTTTATAAATATTTCATGAATTATGTAAATTGTTTATTTGAGTGAAATAATTAATTATTTTTTATTTCATTTTATTTAAAATATAAATAATGAAATAAATATAATAAACAATTGAATATTCAATAAACAATTAAAATAAATGAGAAATTAATATAAAAAATTAAATGAAGTAAATAAAAATGAAATAAACTATTAAAATAAGTAATTAAATATTAAACAAACAATATACATGACCAATTAAAGTAATTAATGAGATATTTAAATAAAATATTAAATTAAATATTTAATAAGTAATTTAATAAATCAAATAATACTTTAATTGT